GCACAGTCACTTGCAACCTTTATTAGAGTCTTATAGATTTACACTCTTGTGGACACTTTTTCAAGAAGTTAAATAATATTTGAATGTACGTTTGCTTTCTCAAAATATGGTTTCTTTATTAAATATAAATTGTGGGTTATACTTGGACTGATGTTGGTTAGTCCCCCTGTGGGTATATACTATAAGAACTTAGTTATGGGTTCTCCTCCATGTTGTTGTAAAATAAAGTTAGGTAGGTTGTGTGGGTTATACTTGGCGAATATTTGTAGATTCGTTCTCCACGTTAATATGTTGTGTAGGCTATTTGTTAAGACAGTATTTGTTGAGCGCTATATTATTTTCTAAGACAGGTATGTTGAGCGCAAATAATTTTGAGTTGAGAATTCTAAGCTATTTGTTATCAAGTTTTTAAAGCAAAAATTCAAGCAAAAAATTCTAAAGTTAAGAAAGGTAAAAACTAGTGGTATTTATACATTCGAGAAGGCTATTTTGTAATAAGCTATGACTAATAATTTGATGATAAGTAATACAGATTGTGAATAATAATAAATAACTAATTTCGTAAATATTTGAATAATCGTTAATTAATAATTATAGATAAGGTATAATATGCCCTGATTTGGTAATCGGATTGTGTCAATCGATTTTCGTTAAGGCGTAATTATGCTGTTTGTCGCATGGTGTAGATCGTCGGCAGATTTTCCAGGGTGCCGGTACACGCTGAGTGTTTCTGAGCCTAACCAATCCTTCCCACCTAGGCTCAAACATAGTTTAATGTGGTCGGATTTGTATTACCGGGTTTTTATTAGATTTGGTAAAATTGATTTTTAAATTATTTAGTTACATCAGTACATAATTTGGGTACATTGTGACTAAATCTTCTATTGTTGCTTGGCAAATATATTTTGAGTTTGTCAATGGTCGCACTTTGATTACGCCGAATATTTGGTTAATAGAGTTTTCATCTTGTACGATTCTAAATCTGAATGTTTGAAATTTTATTTTGTCGTACACTAAGGGCATGTTAAATAATTGTTTTAGCGTTGGTATGGGTCCTAATGTTGCGGCTATTGAGGGTTGTTGTAGTTTGTCAAATATTATGGTATATCTTCTTTTAGAATAATTTCTAATTTTTTGTTCTACTCTATGTTTGATATTGTTGAGTTTAGATACTTCTTTTACGAGTTCTTTTTTATAATTTTTTAATTGGTAAATATCTTTAGGGGTTATTGTTTCGTATTGTCTATGTATTAAATGATCTACTTGCTCGTATGTTAATTTTGGTAAGTTGAGTCCTTCGAATTGTGATTCGTCTTCTGAGTCTAGTTCTTTTTCTTTGTCATGCTTTAGTCACATTAGCATATCATAGTTTTCTATTGAATAAAATATGCTATTAAGTTGTACTTGTAATTCTTGTGTTGGTATTATATTATTAATAATTTCTGCTTTGGTAAAATAATTCCAATCAGAATGGGTTTTTAGTTTCATTTGCATTGCAATTTGGTTGAATGAAGGGTGTACATATGTTTTTATTTCTGCAGTTACTTTATCGTTCTATCCTTGTGGGTGTCCAGGTGGATAGCAGTTATAGCCTACTTCTAGTAGTTTTTCTTGGTAAAGTATTATTCCAGTTTCTTCAAGGGTTTCTCGTATTATTATTTCTTCAAACATTTTATTAGGGTTATCTTGTTTTCCTCCGAGTAGGTTATACCAGGAGTAATACTTTTTGCCAGGATTTATCCTTTGGGATAAATATATTACTGGTATTTCTTGGCTATTCCAATCAAATATTGCTATTTGTGCAAATTTAATAGTTCTTCCAGGTTGGATTGTATTTTGATGTTTTTCCATTTCAAAGGTCGTGAGATGGTGGTATTCCTTCTAGTAGTTGGAATGTATAGAATCTATGATTTTCTTCTGAGTTTATATCAAAAGGGTTATGTGCTTCTAGTCCGCGGTTCCAGGATAGATATTGTGTTTCTTGTATTAGTACGTTGTGGTATATTGTGTCTATTTCAGTTATATATCCTTTTGTTATTTCAGGTATTTGTTCTTTGAATATGTTTTTTAGTTCTTCTAATAATATTTCTTCTAGATATCGTGTGTGAGCATGATCTTTATTTTCTTGTTTTGTATAAATCTCATCGAATGTGACTTTCTGTTTTTCTTGTATTCTAATAATTCTTTTTGTGAAATTAAATACTTCAATAGATTCTTCTAAATTATCTATTGTTAAGTAAGTGTTATTATTTATTCTAAATTGTTGAGCGTATAAATTTCTTTGAGTTTTATAATAGTTTATGATTTTTTCTACTTGTTGTTGTAATTTCGATTCTTTGGTATAGTATACTGAGTCGTATCTTTGTCTTTTAGGTTTGTTTGTTCTTAATATTTCTTCTTTAATTTTTATCTAATGATATTCGTTGTATAATATTTTTGGTTCGAATATTAAGCTGTTTCCTGTTAGGTAGTTGTTATTTAGTATCTTTGTTTCAGGTGATCGTAAAGGGTATAGTTTTGAGTAATATTCTAAGTTTTCAATTGAATATTTATTTTTAAAATTTTTGTTAACTTCCATTTAATAATTATGCGGTGGCCAGTCTATGTCATACGTTGGTGTTAGGTTTCCGGTTCGTTGGTATGTATTTAGTTTGGCTTTATAATAAAATGCGTCTTTTCACACTTCAGCTTCTATTGTTTTGTCACTATTGTCTGATGGGTATCTTCTATTGTATAAGTATCGATCAGGTCCTTCTTGTATTATTTCTAATTCTGATAATTCTTTTTGGAGTTTCAGGATATTTAAGTATTTGTTATTTTCATATGCGTTTTGGAGTGTCAGTCCTTCTTCTTCTAGTAAAGGTATTTCAATTAGTTTTATAGTTTTGATTATTTGTTGTAACTGGTTATGTCTATGCCGAATATTTTGTACTATTTCAGTGTCTGGCGGGTTTATTACTCTATTGAGTACTTTTTTATTGTAGATTGGGTTATATGGTCTTGGTATTTTTCCATATATAATTATGGATTTGTTGTCTATTTCAATAAGTTCTTGTAGAAAGGTAGATGATAAGTTTTCCACTTCTTGTTCTGAAGGTATTATAGTAGTTGAATTTTGACTCGTGGAAGTCATCAGGGTCGTATTGGGTACTTTGTTCTTTTGTTGGTTTTTTTACAAAGTGTATTCTATTTCTGTAGTTTTGGTAGTATTCTTCTTGCGTAATATTGTGATAGAATACTTCTTGAAATTCGTATTTTTCTTGTTCTTGAGATATTTCTATATCTTCTTCGTCTATGTTTCTGTAGTATCTCGGGTTTTCTATGGTTGGTCTATTTGTTACTTCTGCAA